ACACTTAGTGTTTCTTTCTCTCTCGGTGGCGATTTTCTCTTCTAAGCACGATTTTTGTATAGAATAGAAGCACTTTAAATTATATATTTTTTTCATCTAGCATATTCTAGAAGATGTTTTGCAGTACAGATTTGTATTCGATCGTATGCACATACTCTTGATTACAGAATATGCCTCAAATTTACGAGCTGTTTTATATATAAAAAAGAAGATGTGATATGATTGCCAATGAGACAACTATCCACAAGAGACAAAATGACACATAAATTAACAACTATAGGTCACTGTACGGTCATCAACAATGAGTGAAGCCCATACAGTAGTCAGGTGAGGTTTCTTTTGCTGTTTCCATGGCAATGGCGGTCAATTCGAAAATTCCAAAGACAAATAACAACTCTGCACATTTCAGTTGACATTTTGTGCAGTTTTATCAAGTTTGGAGCATTTTGAAATTTTTGAAATTTTTGTTGGTTTCACCAAACCCTATTTTATTTTTTCATCTTTTTTTGGTTTCCATGGTAACGGCAGCCATCTTTTATTTCCAAAATTGCACTGCAACTCGAAAGTCAGGGTTCCTTGTTATAGTGTACCATCATTTAGATTGGTTCCTTTGGCTCTGAGAAAACTGGCGGACAAAATTAGGTGGAAGAAAAATAATAATAACTAGATTTGCCATTGCAAGCAATAGCGGATGGCACCCTTCCCCCATTGCCAGGCAAGCGGCAGCCATTTAGAAAATTCCAAAGTAAAAGAGTGCATCTACACATGCAAATTATCATTTTTGTAAAGTTTCATTAAGTTTGGAGCATTTTGAAATTTTTGACATTTTTGCTGTTTCCATGGTTACGGTGGCCATTTTGAAAATTCCAACTTCAAAATGCAACTCTGCCCATGCCAGTTACCATTTCTGTAAAGTTTCATCCAGTTTGCAGCATTTTGATTGTTTTTAAAATTTTGGACATTTTTGCTGTATCCATGGTTACAGTAGATAATTCCAAAATTCTAAAAGCAGACAACTCATTGCCACATGTCATGTTATATATCAATACAGTTTCATTGACCTTGGTGCAATACTCTTTAAAAAAATGGTGGTTTTATGCATTTTCCCATAGGGTCAATGTAAAACTGGCCCCAAGTTTCCATGACAACTGCGACCATTTTGGACTATCCAAATATTGTCTTGGCATCTTAGCATACTGGGTAACATTCTCATAAAGTTTCATCCAGTTGGGTCTTATAACGAAAGAGTTAGAATTTTTGATATTTTAGCTGTTTCCATGGTAACGGCAGCCATTATGAAAATTCCAAAGTCAAACTGCAAATCAGCACATGCCAGTTACCATTCCTGTGGAGTTTCTTCCAGTTTGGAACACTTTGATTTTTTTGGCATTTCTGCTGTTTTCATGGAAACGGCGGCCATTTTTTACCATTCCATAGCAAGGTGCACAACTTTACATGGGGGTCCTCATTATAGTAGAGTTCCATCAGCATTGGTCCATTGGATTCCAAGAACTCGCGCGGACAAAATGTGTGGAAGAAAAATAAGAAAAAAAAAAAGAACGTAGAATAACAGTATGTCACCCCAACTCCGTTGAGGGTGCCATAATAACAATTTGAGTTACGCTAACATTACGATAAATCAGGGCAAGTGAAAAGACCTAATAATAAGATTGATTGATTGATTGATTGTTGGTTGCTTAACGTCCAGTGGCAAATATTTCATGCATGTTCAGGACGAGAACCAAGTTAACAATAAAAACAATAGGTAGGTCCTGTAATAGAGGTCGTCCGGGATGAAGGTCGGGGAAATTTGGACTGCCACGGGAAAATGAGGGTATATTGGATAAGGACAAAAATTTAGCCTTGCAGCAGGCCACCTACGGACCCCTCAAAGAGTTGTTGCAAGGGTTCTTAACGTGCAAAGAACGTGGCACTTTCTTTACACGAGGCATCGGATTTAACGTCCCCATTCTGACCGGACGTGACTGCGAACTTGTAAATCCCGCACAGCCAAACGGACGCCCCACTTTAGCGAGGGTTTTACCGCCGGTCGGAGGAAGACCAATGGTGACCATATTTCTATTCCCCAGTCACCCTTTGGGGGTCTAATAAAAAGAAGAACTGAGCAAAACCAATAAGTCTCCAAACTTTGTTTGGGAGACTTAATAATACAAAACAATATTAGTACTAGAGCCCTTGAAGGAATTATAGATTCATTGCTAAGACAGTATGTAAACAATGAAGTTAATACGATATACGAAACTCTGATAAATACACTTTACACTGAGATGTCTGAGCATTTACAATATAGAGACTTACCTTACTTTACCTCTATCAAACCAAGAGTTCCAAGTGGTGAAGTTTAAACCAATCCTACGTAAATTTTACGGACGCCATCACGAGTTGGTTGACCGTTATGGAATATCCGTTTCACAGATGACAACGGGTATGTTCCAATTGTCGTAACTACAATCTCGTGCCCTTTTTTCCAGAATGTGACCTACCGAATTATACTTTTTACTGGGTTTGTACTAAAATGAGCAACACGACGAGTGTCACATGTGGAGCAGGATCTGCTTACCATTCCTGATCCCTGGAGCACCTGAGATCACCCCGAGTTCTTGGTGGGGTTCGTGTTTCCCAGTCTTTAGTTTTCTATGTTATGTTTAGTGTACTGTTGTTTGTCTGTTTGTCTTTTTCTTTTTTAGCCATGGCGTTGTCAGTTTATTTTCGACTTATGAGTTTGAATGTCCCTTTGGTATCTTTCGCCTCTCTTTTACAACACAATATAAAGAAGCGAATGAAGCATAGCAACAAACCGTACTGGAATAACGAACTAAAACCAGTATTCAAAATTTCTAGGGATGCTGAAAAAACAATATCTGAAATACAAAAGGGGCAAACGAATAAAGGAAAATCTGAAATGCGCTTTCAATACTGCAAGACAGTTTTTTGATAAACGTTTGCGTCAGGAAGAGCTTGTACTAATGCATAACGTAACAAGGGATGAGCTGTCAAATTGACAGCGAACTGGGTTTTCTGTATTTTTAAAGGCACTTTCAGGCTTTTATGACCTTCTACATGCATATTTTTCAATCTATGAAGGACCATAACTCCTGAATGGGAAAAATGAAAATCGTCAATATCAAACTCGACCACTATTGTCATCAGTAATAGCATATTAAATTTTAAGAGCATTGGTTGAACGGTTCAGAAGTAACTGTACAGAAACGACATAAAGTGCAAATTTTTTAATCTATCAAGGACCATAACTCCTGAACGGCAAAAATGAAAATCGTCAATGTCAAACTTGACCACCATTTTGTTATCAGTAACAGCATATTGAAATTTTAAGAGCATTGATTGAACAATTCATAAGTAATTGCACAAAAACTACATGGTGTCCCAGTTTTCTATCTATCAAGAGCCATAATGACTACTCCTGGACAACAAAAGTGAAAATTGACAAAATCAAACTTGACCTCCATTTTTACATCAGTAACAATATATTAAAATTTTCAAAGCATTGGTCAAGTGGTTCATAAGTACATGTAATTACCCGGAAACGAAATAAAGTGCCGTTTTCCAAAAAAATTAATAGATAGGTAGAAACTTAGGAAGCACAAATGATTAGCAAGACAAGATCTACAAATAAGTAGAATGCCCTTTAATGATGATTTATACCAATTTCTTGCGTTTTTGTTTAATAACTCAAAAAACTATAATAGATATATAAAAAGTTTAAGAGGCAAAAATGATCAGCAAGACAAGATCTACAAATAAATCAAATAACCGATATCGTTAGTCGACTCCTTATTGAAGTTATTGCCCTTTAATGACAATTTTCCCCATTTTTCCCCATTTTTGCCTATTATATTCAAAACTGTTATGGATAGATAGAAACTTTAAATAGCACAAATGATCAGCAAGACAGATTTACAAATAAGCCAAAATGGCCGAAATCTTCAGTCGACTCCTTATTGAAGTTATTGCCCTTTAATGATAATGTTTAACATTTTTTTGCATTTTTTGCTTATTATCTTGAAAACTATACTAGATAGATGAAAAGTTTTAAAGGCAAAAATGATCAGCAAGACAAGATCTACAAGTAAGTCAAATGACCGATATCGTTAATCGACTCCTTATTGAAGTTATTGCCCTTTAATGATAATGTTTAACATTTTTATGCATTTTTTCCTTATTATCTTGAAAACTATACTAGATAGATGAAAAATTTAAAAAGGCAAAAATGATCAGCAAGACAAGATCTACAAGTAAGTCAAATGACCGATATCGTTAGTCGACTCCTTATTGAAGTTATTGCCCTTTACTGATAATGTTTAACATTTTTTTGCATTTTTGCTTATTATCTTAAAAACTATAATAGATAAATAGAAACTATAAAGAGGAAAATTATCAGCACGATAAGATCTACAAACAAATTGTCAGTTAAACTCTTAATAGAGTTATTCTCCTTTAATGATGATTTTTACTAAAAAGTGGCCATTGTTGAAGATGCAGGTGAGCGTCACAGGCTCTTTAGAGCCTCTAGTTTTATTAATTGTAACTCGAAAGACCTCATCGCGTTACATTATTTAGAAAACAATATCCTATGACTCTTAGAATATAAAATATATTCCTTTGTCCCTAACAGGCAATTTTACCGAGGTTTGAGACCACGACGATAACAATCGAAACTTAATTCAGAGGCTCTGACGTTGTATACTCATCATATTATAATTCCAGTTCAACACTTCGGAATTTTTCTAAAACTACATTTTATTTGAGTTTCTTACAAAGTCTTAAGATGGGACATATTTCTTCCTTATCTGCAAAACTTCTGTACCATTTGGTATTGTTAAGCAGCTACCTGTGGTTTTAAGTACTAGTAACCTTATCTCAACAATATGATAAAACATCTATAGCCTATAATCATCTTTGTATGTAATTCGAAACATATGTTAATAATAAGAAGAAAAAAAAACCATTGCTTTACAAACCTCTACAAGTTTTTACAGCTACCATTTCCCAGTTTCCATGGCCAGAAATATTCAATGCGCGAGCCATCATTACTTTACCAAATCGTCCATGACCAAGGTCTATTCCAAGCTGCAAACGTTGTCGAGGGAATTCATCTTTTAATATGGAATTATTGATGTTCGAGAGATAACAATTCTTAAAAGAAAAAGAAAATTACAAAGTTTGTTTTCTTGTGTTTGGAAAGGTGTTTTAATCCATCCAAAGTAATTTTGGAGCTTAACATTAATATTACCAAATGCCATACTGGTTCCAATAAAACTCTAAAGAGAATGTGACGCTCACCTAGGTCTATGTGCATCTTCTTCAATGGACACTTTCCAACATTTTAGATAAATAACCATCGCCATGACCTTACATAAATGTAAAGTGATAAATGTAAACAGATAAATATAAATTACACGCGTCAAAGTATAATGTCGATTTTTCTGTTTGTTTTCATATCATAGAAAAAAAAAAACATAATGTACATCATCGTGTTACCTGTAACATGTATAAGAAATATGTATTTGCAGGTCAAACCAGTCAACAAAAAGTTTTCCTGTTGAATCTTAGTTTAATTTTTCCAGCTGACATTCTTTTAGTAACTGAATTTGCTGATCACATGCACATTCATCTGGAACTTGGGTCACATAAAAAATTGAATTCATATACATGTAGATCTATATAAGGTTAAAATATTGTTCTTTAAGTCAATAATCATGTATCAGCATCGTTTTGTTAACTTATAAATTTCTCAAATATTTATAATAAGTTGCAAACGTCGTCATTTTAAAAGGTACAAGTAATTTCTAATAACATGGTAATCCACCAGCCCAGAGTATTATGTAACCATGGATATGAAAGTAAAATACTTCCAATTTGATTCAATTTGACACTAAGCATATAAATAATAGTTTGTCAACTTAAACTCTTTTTCCTTTCCATTTCCTCAAGTAAAAATTGCTAGTTCTTTTCTATTGTCCGCTTAAAATAAATATTTAATTGAGTATCGAATTCACACTAAATGGTACTTAAAACAAAACATAAGTAATCTAAAACGGGCGACCAACATTTGCGCGAATTCGCATTCTAATTGGTATTACGTCTGCGTGAACAACGCGTATTACGTTTGCGTGAATTTACCTGTAGTTTACCTGGGTTTTTATCTGTGTTTAATCCTGAAAATAACCTGGACCCGTATTGCATAAAACATATTGACTCAAGTGTTCCTCAAACTGCGATTTCACTAAGAATTCCCTTACGTAAGTAAATTCATAAGTCTTCTAACTAAGGAATACTTTAATCGGAACTTTCTCTTCGCATGTACTCATCCATGCAAAATTTTGTTTTGATTATTTACATTGATTAAGCAATGCATACTTTTATTAAAGTCATATGAAACTTTAAATTTAAAAAAAAAGTTGACTATGTTTTATATACTTAAATAACTATGTTTTACTTTAAAACAAGAGTACATGGACTTTTTAGTAAAAGAAAAAAAGAAAATCTTTATCTGATCAAAATCTTCAGAAATGTACTATTGAATTATTGTCTTCCCGTACTCTAATTCGCCGATATCTTTTCCGTAGTGACCTTAACAACAAGACCCAGTCTCATTAGAACTTTGACATCCGCACAGCGCAAGTGCAAGGGAAACCCCGTGATTTAAAGAATGTAAACAAACGTGCACTGGAAGATAAATAGTGTTAATAGATTCTGAAAGAACAATTTAAAACATCAAATCATTTAACAACTGTTTACAAAGTTTAATTAACAAATGGTAATGCATTGAAAATATAAAAACAAAATTAACATCGCTCTATCAACTCACTTATTTTGCACGTGCTCCATGATTCTGTATTGCTTGTTTATCAATGTCACGATCCGGTAAACTTCGAAACAGATCCAAAGATTAATTAGAAGCTAAATATTGGGATCAACCGTCACTGAATGAAATATTGTTTGTCGATTATACATTTTGGGTCGTGATAAATGCGAAAAGGTGCTTAGATGATTTAGTAAAGAATATATGCATATGCATTTGTTCAATAATTTCCTTAACATTATAATTACTAGAAACTCGTTTCATATGACTTTAAAAACTGGGGTTACATTCATGGTTGTAAAAGAATTAAAAAAAATACGTAACCAACTAAAATGTCCTCACAAATGCCAAATTTGCATATACGAAAAGTGTTGTTTTGATGGTCGAGCATTGGGAAAAAATATTTGTATATCAAAATTTGTCCCTCCTGTCACTACAGGAGAGATGAAAAGGGCTAGGGAGGAAATAAAAAACATATAACAACATCATAAGTACAGAAAATGTCATAATGCCTTCCTTAGAGATCCGAATTCGAAAGAATTGGGACAACTTATGCATGGAGTGATGATTGCAAAATATCAAAATATTTTGCGAAATGTTGAAATTCAACGTTATCTTGTAGCAAATTATCCAGCTCAATAATGGTATAAGTTAGTAAAATCTTAATTACAGAAAATTTCGTATGTTTTTACAATCAGATCTAAACGCACGCAAGAACACCTTTATCGTTTTAGAAGACCCCATAAATTTAAAAGTATCATTTATCAACACCTTAAGAAGCACAATCATCATATTAGATATTTAACAGTTCAACCTTTAGAAGTAGTAAATAAGCAGCCTGGGGAATCTCATTCAAAATTTGTACGATCACGGAAAATAATTGAATTAAATTGGATTAAAAAATTACAGACAGTCTATCCTCTCGGTCTTAATGATAATATCATGGGAATTGGTAATATATCAAGAACCTATTCTGTTAACATTATGGATATAGTTTCTAAAACTGTTCGAAAAAACCGTTCTCATGGGCGTAGAATAAATCGCAATCAGAGAAAATTTCGTACCAACAATAAAAATGTTTCGGACCAAATAACTATTTCACAAAACAACGGCAGACATTATCTGTTAACCAAGCTCTGTTCTTTACCTGTTAATAAATTACATCAAATTTTAGAGGATTGCAACACAATTTCATATTGCAGTCCTAAGTATGAAATCGTCCAAATTATAATTGCATATTGTTATTCTAAATTTTTTCCCAAAATTGATCGCCCTGAAGATCATAAAAAACGTTTCATTAAAATCAAATATGTCAATAAAAGTTTTGATTTTGTAAATATTGCCGGTATTTTTAATGATTATTCCGTTAAAGAACAAATTCCTGGCTATTTTGATAATACTGAGTTCCCTCTTATTTGTTATGTTTACAAAATATCTACCCGGAAATATGTGTTATTATATCGAAGTGTGTAAAGATGTTAATATCAGTGACAATACATCTACGTCATGAAATTGCAGTAATTCCAAATACATTTATGGCCCCAGTTCCCATGTTATAACATCGTCCATGACCGAGAGTGGAAATCATTCCTCAGTAAAGGACCTAAATATCGTCACCCGTCAATTATTAATTGAAATGAGCGTCGAAATATCGACCACGACTCACTCCGTACTTACTGCACGAAATAGATAAAACGAGAAAAAGCTGACAAAAAATCCGTAGATTCTTTTTTTAATTCAGTAATGAACATAGTTGATATTCGTATTAAACAATTTAAAGAGCATTTTACTCCTAACAACAACCATAATAGCCCTATTTCTCGTAAAAGAACTCGCCAAGGAAATTGTTTTTATCCCGGCTGATAAGGCTGCCAATAATATCATTATTGTTTGATGTAAATTTTACATTGAGGTTCTGCAAAAGGAAATCACGAATTCACCAACATTCCAACTGACTCCATTTTCGGAAAATGACATCTGTAACACACTGTTACGGTCAGAAATCACCTTTAAATTGTAGCCAACAAAAGACACAAATCAATAATAGAAGATTTATTTTACACAAGTTTACAAGAAATATTATACAAATTGAAATGTCAACTTAACTGTTAAAATATATGTCCGATCCTTTTGTCTTTTCTTTATCCGGAATTCTTCTCTTCACTGTTGCGGGAATCCAAACAGAATATTATGTCCAATAAGTCACAATCTAGTATGATGTAGTTAACGTAAATAAAAGTGTCAATCCAACAAATGCAGAGAACTTCTGAGACTACAAGAATGTTAATGTCTAGTCAGAAAGTCTAACTTTAGTATGTAGTTAACGTAAATACAAGTGTCAATCCAACTGAGAGAACTTCTGAGAATACCAGTTTAGTAATGTCTAATCTGAAAGTCTAATTTTAGTGTCTGTATATATATAGTTGTCACGAAAATCTCTAGAACACTGTAGAAGAGAAACTCCTAGAAAACTGTAGAACGGAAACTTCTAGAATATGGTAGAAGTTTAAATTAAACATCGTTGATAATGATCATTCCAGAATTATTAAGTAAGTCAAATAGAAAGTTCTAATCATTCCGTCAGTATCTATGATTGTTCCAGTGATTTCTAAACTGCACAATTATACAATTATTTTGTAAACAACTATAAATATTATGTAAACATATTATACATGTTATAAGGCCACACAAAACAAATAAGGCCAAGATAAACAAATATGATAATTACAATATCATAACAAAACATAAACTTTTAGCTACCTCTTTACAAGCAGAGCCGAATAATATGAAAGTTCCAACTATGTACTGGCTTCCGAAGCTGCACAAAACACCTTACAAATATAAATTTATTTCGTCTTCAAGCCATTGTTCCACTACTCAACTGTCTATTCTACTTACTAGTACACTTGGTACAATCAAAAACCTGGTAATAAATTGTTCAAATAAGGCCTTTGAAAATAGTGGAATTAATTACTTTTGGGGTGTAAATAATTCGTTGGAAGTACTTGATAAATTGCATGCTCATATTTGTGATTTCGAATCTGTTAAAAGTTTTGATTTTTCTACCCTATATACCACTTTGCCTCATAATCTCATTGAGAAAAAATTCACACACCTAATTAAATGGGCATTATAAAGTCAGAATGCAAAAATATATGTTCAAACTCTTTTAGGTCATTTTTAGTGAACTATGTCAATTGGACCTGCTTTGATAAGATAACTGCACTTGAATTTTTACTAGATAACATTTTTGTTCGCTATGGAGATTCCGTCTATCGTCAAGTTATCGGAATTCCAATGGGGACTAACTGTGCACCACTTATTGCGGACC